ACTGGAGATCTGGCCCACAACCTGGGCATGTGCCCTGACTGGGAATCGAACTGGTGACCTCTTGGTGCACGGTCAATGTTCAACTACTGAGCCACACCAGCCGGGCTAAAGGTGAGATTTAAACCCAGATATGTAAACTCCCAAGGTCATCTTTCCCTCGGTACCTCACTGCTTCCCCCAATCTCCCAAGATAAGGACTAAATTTTATATTCTTCACTATGTCTGGCATTTAATAAGATCCAATAAAAGCTGACATTGGTGAAAAGTAAGAAACACCTTCTCAAACTAAGTACCTTATTAAGTATAGAATCAAAAGAAGGCAGCTTTTCTAGGAAAAATACTCCCTTCCCCACTCTACTCCCACTGCCCGCCCACCTTTTCTCCGGTTTCGCAACAGTCCACCAGGAAGAGGCAATCATTTATTTATTCTCCCCAGCTCCCCTCTGCAATTTTCCAGCCCAGCAAAACATCTCTAACTTTGGATGGCCCTGGGGACCAGGCTAATCTGTTAATACTCCAGAGACAGCAGCTTCTACAAATGTGGAATGATGATCCAAGATCATCTTTCTCCGGAACTGCTTTAACTAGGGAAGTCAAGTTTACTGTTTTATTGAATAAAATCAGTCACATCACTTCATTTGTATTCCCCCATAGAATCCCAGATTTTCACTTCAATTGCTAACTTTCTCAACAGTGGCATTTAACAATTCATCACTGAACAGCTAATCCTATTCCAAGCTTAAGAGGTACTGACGACAGGCACCCCTGGTCTGACATTGTTTTCAGTTACAATACTGTGGTTTAACAACAACAACAAAACCCAACCAAGAAATTGATTCTCTTCCATAACAAGTTCAGTGGTGGGGAAGTTCCAGAGTTGATTAACTCAGTGGTTCAAAAGTCATAAAAAAACAAATTTTTTTCCCATTTTTCTACTATGGCATCCTAAGGATACTGGCAGTTATTGTTTCGTAGTAGCCTCACAATAAGCCTGTGAGTTTCATTAAAACTGCTGCCTGATGGTTGGCTTTTGTGAGGAAAACAATTTTCTCATATGTACTCTGGAAGGCAATTTAGATACCTATAGAATTTTTAATGTGTGTATCCTTTGTCCTAGTAAGTCACTTCTAAAAATTCATCCCAAAGAAAATTTAGGTGAAAAAAACAGGTATGGAGATGCTATTACAAAACTTAACTGCAAAAAATTGGAAACAGCCTAAAATGTCTATCAATAGGGGTGACTACTTAAACTGAGACTTATACAATGGAATACATCGCAGCTGTTTAACATGGAAATATGTCCAAGTTTTGTTGATGAGAGTCAAGCTGCAGCCCTGGCCAGTGTGGCTCAGTTGGTTGGCATCATCCCATGCACTGAGGGGTTGCCTATTCAATTCCTGGTCAGGGCACATGCGTGGGTTGCAGGTTCAATCCCCAGTGCCGATCGATGTTCTGCTCTCACATCGATGTTTCTCTCTCTCTCTCTCCCTCTAAAAAATCAATAAAAAATTTTTTTTAAAAAGAGTCCAACTGCAGAGTTATGTCTTCACTAATAAAAATACCCATGACATCAAAATTGTATGCAACAAAAGTAAAAATAAACTGAATTACATCAAAATAAAAAACTCCTATGCATCAAGACACAATAGAATGAAAATGCAACCCCAAAAATGGGAGGAAATACGTAAAAAAAACTCTTTCAACTCAACAAAAACATGTTTAAAAACAGGCAAAGAACTTTAAGACATTTCTCCAAAGAAGATATTGTATACAAATAACCAATAAACATATGAAACAATGGTCAACATTACTAATTGTTATGGGAAAGCAAAACAAAACCACAATGAGATTATTACCTTACAATGGTTGTTATAAAAAATAGGTAAGTTTTGCCAAGAATGTGGAGAAACCGGAACCCGTATGCACTGTTGCTAAAAATGTAAAATGTTGCAGCCACTGTTCCTCAAAAAAAAACTTCTGGGTATAAACTCAAAAGAACTGAAAGCAGGGTCTCCATGAGATATTTGTATACCCACGTTCACAACAGTATTATTCACAATAATCAAAAGGTAGAAGCAAAAAAACTGGAAAGAAATAACCATCTAGCCCTGGCCGGTTTGGCTCAGCGGTTAGAGCGTCCGCCTGCGGTCCGGAGAGACCCGGGTTCAGTTCTCGCTAAGGGCATGTACCTCGGTTGCAGTTTGTCCCCGGCCCTGGTTGGTCGTGCGGGTGGCAGCCACTCGATGTGTCCCTTTCACATCGATGTTTCCCTCTCTCTCTCTTCCTCTCTCTCCCTCCCACTCTGTCTGTACAAAAAATGGAAAAATGTCCTCGAATGAGGATATAAAAAAAAAAAAAGAAATAACCATCTAATTCTTAATAGTGGTTATCAATGGAAAATACTGATGGGGAAAGAAGGGACTCGTTTTCTTTGTATCTTTCTGTACTGTTTGCATTTAAAAAACTTTTTTTTATTTGTAGAGAGAGGGGAAGGGAGAGGGAGAGAGATAGAAACATCGACGAAAGAGAACATTGATTGGCTGCCTCCCGCATGCCCCGCACTGGGGATTTGGCCCACAACCTGGGCATGTGCCCTGACCGGGAATCAAACTGGTGATCTCTTGTTGCATGGGTCGACGCTCAACCACTGAGCCACACCAGCCGGGTCTGTATTGTTTGCATTTTGATGATAAATATGTACTAAGCTAATACTTCTAAGTTCAATGTTTAAAAATTCCATTGGGAATGTTTTAAATTAAAATTAAACTCTAGATAGACTTAAGTTCTTATGCCATCTTAAGAAGTTTCAGCAAGCATCTCATCTCCTCCCAAAAGCATTCCACGAGTAGGTTATGATTAGTTCTAAAAGGAATGATGAATTTTTAAAAAGCTCCTGTGTCACTCAGTTAACATGAGATGCTGCCTATTAGGCTTACCCCAGGTACTGCCCATGACACGTGCTGGCCAGTGGTGATGCCTTAGAGATCCACTCCCTGATCCTGAAACTGACAAATGAGCTGGTGCCTGCAAACACAAACTCCCAGGGATTGCAAACCATTTTTATCCTTCTTGTCCCCCACCTCATATCTACTAAAAGGAACACCAAGCCCAGTCTAAATCGCCTCCCCATCTCTCTTCAAGAATGTTACAAGAAAGTTAGTGAGTGGTTAGCAAGACCCCCTTTAAAACCAACCATTCCAGAAAAATAACTGCTCACACACCAAGGGCTGCCAACAGGAGCAGCTTCTCAGCAGCATGCTTTAACCACCTTAATGAAGGAGAGCACAATACTTCTGAAAATACAAATCCTGGTTGGAAGAAAAAACAATCTCCAGATTGTGGAAAAGTACAACTTAAAAAGCAAACACCACACGTCTGGTAGAGCACACAGGCAGATTTCTAAATACAGAGCTCAATTGTAAGAGTTGGACTGTACCTTATTTCTCACTATCAGTTGCTGTCAAAAATAGAACCCTCCATGTCTTGATCCATTCAGAATAAGCCACAGCAGGCACAGTTTTGCTTACACAAGGCAGCCAGGTCAGAAAGGCCACACAAGGAAATGGAAGCAGCAGCCAGCAGGTTTTCTTAGGGATTATATTGCTCCAGCTTTTATCCTTCTTCCCGACTATTTTGGTGCCAGGAAAGCTGCAGTCTTTGCTCTGCTCTTAAAAAGCTTTTCACCGGAAACACTGAGTCTCAGGGCTGCAACTCCCTCTGCTGTCTGATGTTTTCCTTGCATGCTACAGCAGGTTCAATGAAGTTCAAACTCAAATGTAGAGATAAAGCAGCCCTTTATTTCAAAATATTACTAAAATAGCACAAATTCAAATAGGAGAACAGCTCAAATGCCAAGTTCTAAGTGAGATTTCTACACTCACCTACAAATCTTTCTCACAAAGGGCTTCTTATACTCAGTTTAAAGAAAAGTTCTGTATCTCCCCCATAGGCACTTGGAAAGTCAGGAAATGAACATCTTGGTCCTTCCCCACCTGCACTTAATACTGCCCATTACCAGAATTGTAAGGTAGGTCTTTCTCATCTTTCACCTTTCAATTTAAACAGTATTTAACACGTAGTACTGAAGCTACTTATTTGTTCTTTTCACAGCATTTATTCAACTTTGGGCCTAACAGCAGATGCTCAATAACCATTTAACAGAATTCTAAGTAGAACCACTCTAAGATATTGGGGGAGATCTGCCCACACAATTCAATTAGGAAATCAGCAATTACTGGGGAGAAAGCAAAATTCTGAGACAAGACAGGTCTTTCCAACTAACATACTATTTTAATTATTTTGCCTAACTTACCAGTGCTGCTTCTAGTCTTTTTCTTTATCCTCACCTGAGGACATTTTTCCATTTTTTTTGTTCAGATAGAGTGGGAGGGAGAGAGAAGAGAAACATTGACATGAGAGGGACACATCAAGTGGCTGCCATCCACACAACCCAACCAGGGCCAGGGCCAAACTGCAACCACGGCACGTGCCCTTAGCGGGAACTGAACCCTGGTCTCTTGGGACTGCAGGCCATGCTCTCACCGCTGAGCCAAACCGGCCAGGGCTTCTAGTCTTTTTTCATATTACCATCTCACAGTGTCTTTCCTGCTAACTTTTTTTTAAAAACAAAATGTTTTGATTTTTAAGAGGGAGGGAAACATTGAACGGCTGCCCCCGGCATGTGCCCTCACTGGGAATGAAACGGGGACCTCTCAGTCCATAGGACAAGGCTCAATTCACTGAGCCACACCGGCTGGACCCTCTTGTTAACTTGTTAAGAGCTAATTTTTAATGTATTTTTAAGGCATTTCATTCTTTGCCAGTACACCAGTACTTCTCACATTCAGTTCTTGGTGATAAAAAAATTAACAAAGACCTCACAAAATGACTATGAAATAATGCAGCTGTTATGTCCACAACCTGTTGTGGTTAGAAACTGCAGTGTTCCAGCATCCAGAATTAGAATTAATGATGAAGACATACATTAGTGAAATAGACTTTATTTTCGTGAACCCTCTTGTTCTCTTCCACCCAGTATTAGAAGCTTACCTGTCAGGCAGAATTCCTACTCTGCCTTAAGAATCTATAGATCAGGCTCTGTGAAAAGCAAATGCCCAGGGTCAACAGCCACCTTCAGAAAACTAAAATACCAACAACTAACAGTGTCACTGTAAAAGGTCTCTACTACTAGACAGAAACAATGTACATTTTTTAATAAAAACAATTCAACATTATTTATTTATCAGTTGGTAGTGAACAAAACGAATGGGTATATTTAGCCTTTAATTCCAACAGAGGACAATTGAGAACCAAACTGTATTGCTTCTCAACAATTTCTCACTTCATTAGACATTTCTAGGTGGAGACACTTTGGAGCAGAGTAATATTATCTCCTTTTAGCATGATCCGACCTGCAACACAAAATTAGAAAGAAAAGCTATTAATAGCTACTCAAACAACCTTTTAGCATCAGAATTTTGAATGGTTCTTGAGCAATTTAGAAAACGCTTTCCTGTATGTGAGGGTTTTCAAATACCTATATATTGAAAGGTTGCACATATATGCACTTCTCAACCTGATGAAGGAAGAGAAATGTTATTTTATGAAAAGTAGTTTCTGTAGACTAAGTTAACTAACTAGGTCTATCCCAACATTTCCCGATGCTCAGTTTGTAAAAGTTGGGAAATGAGCTGCATATAAAGTTTAGAAAATGCAGCATACTCTAACTCCATTCTTAAAGCTCTTAGTATATTAAGATTTCATCTTTCAATAAACATACCTATTTAAGTTTCACCCAACACTTTCTAAACTTATTTGAGTAGAGTACCTTTTTCCTGAGAAAGAGCTATAAATATCTTCAGGAACACTAGGGTTCAGTAAGGTTTGAGAAATGGGAATCAACCCCAGTAGTGATTGTTTTACTTTCCCAGGCTTCCATGATAGGTAATATTAATCTTTTCTACATTTACCAGATACTACTATGGAAATTCAACACTTTGTAAATTATTTATAAATTACATGTCAATAAGGCTAGCTTGTCCTTCCTGGCACAACATGTTTAAATTTTTAAAATCCAGGCTTTCATAAAAATAGCTCAAGCAGGAAGAAGCAGAGCAAAATAACACTTTTCAGACTCTCCTTTTCACATATTATCTAGTATAGGCTCAAGAGAATCCTCAAGGTCTGGAAAACAAACACCTGAAGCCCACTCCTGATATAACTCCTGGTGAGCTGTGAACAAGGGCATTAAACAACTAAACAAAATGCCTAAATAAACCTAAGCTAATAAGATTTTAACAACAATGGTTCAGTTTTTCTTGATGAAACCATGAATCCTAAAGATCTTCTGTTAACTGGGTTGGGAAATTATGTTCACTGATTAAATATTCTACTACATGCCAGGTATGAACATATCAGGGAGCAAAAAAGTTGGGACTCATGCACTTAAGGAGCATCTGGTCTAGTGGGAGAGAAATTAATACAGCAATACCCACTAATGAATGTTTTACTACAAATTCAGAGAGCACAGCACAGCATACCCGGTGTCCACCCCCCCCCCCCCAAAACCCTGGGAGGAGGTAACATTTCATCTGAGTCCTAAAGACACAGGGATCAGGATATACAAAGATATGTAGTGGAGTAAAAGTGCAGATTTCAAATAACTAAAAAAAGACAAATGTGGATGAAGGTCAGAAAGTGAAGCTGAGAGCAGATGAGACAAGCTCAGATCATGAAGAACCTTGCAGAATACATTAAAAACGTTCTTATCCTACGAGCAGTGGGAAGCCACTGAAGGAAGGATGTCAAGCAAAGGGACGACAAGGTCAGACTGGTGTTTCTAAAAGATTAGTGCAGCCTGCAGAGCAAACTGGAGGGGGATACGATTGTTGCAGAGAAATCAATTAGTAAACGGAATAGAAATTGGTGCTGTTCAGTAAGGGCAGGGAACACTAAAAGTGTGAGGGGTGGGATTGAGTTTGATTTCGGATATGTTAACTTTGAGGAGCCTTTGAGACATTCAACTAGAAATGTTTAAATGGCTCAGAGAGGTCTAGAGCTAGATGCAAATTTGGTGGTCAATACAGTCATTAGGCAATTTCATAGTTGTGCAAACACAGAGTGAATTTACATAGCCTACTACACATCTAGACTATAGGGTATACCACCATGGTATATGCAGTCCATTGTTAACTGAAATATTGTTATGAGGCACATGACTGTATATAGATGGTAAATAAAAGTGTAGTCTCGAATGCCTAAGAAAATACCGAGTGACAGGAGGGCCTATAACCATGCATTGTGTAATTTAAACATTTAATGGTTGGGTCTCAAAGAATGAATATATAAAAGTCTGCAAAAGAATAACTGGCTAGAAATGAAAAAATGAAAAACTACGTATAGCATCACAAAGCCAAGGGAACAAAGTGTTTTAAAAAAAGGGGTGGCCAAACAGTGCCCAATGCTGTTGAGAGGACAGTAAAATGAGCACTAATTCTTACTGTTAGATTTAACACCACTAGTCCTTGGAGACACTGGTAAGCACTAAGTGGAGAGTCCGAAGTAGAAATAGTGTGTGGTCAAGAATAAGTGGCAGAGGATGGTTTCAAGTGTACCCTCCCCACCCAAATCATAACTTCTCACATGCAAACTAAATTTAAACATGAACTTTGTTGCAACGCACTCAATTCTGCAAGTGAATATAAATCTCTAAAATTCTGTAAGACTATATTCTTACCTAGTTGTTTTCTTGACTTTGTTTTAGAATGAATCTCTTCTGCATCATCTAATACGAGGTTCATATACTCATCAAAACCCTAGAAAAACAAACCAATGACTGTCATTTTCAAGATCACATTCAAACCATTCTAAAATAAAACAACAAAAAACAAACCTATCTAGATACAGAAATGCCAACTAACTTCAGGAATTCATCCCTTCACCGATCTTTCAGATGAAACAACACCTCCCACTCTAAGCCTTTTTAAATAACAGGAAAACCAGAATGCACTCCATTAGTTCTGGAACATTTTGGACTTAAGATTTCATTAACTATATCAAAAAGCCACTCTATCTTTTATAACCTGCTCAACATGCTATGTGTATATATACACGAATTACGTTCTGCCACTGCTTTGCCCATGCTCCCCACGAAACACTATCACCACTAACCACCACTCTTGTTTTCCAACTAGTAAACAAGGAATGTGACATTGAAAAAAAATCTGTAAAGCCTTAAGAGCATACATGCAGTCATATTTCATCTTCCTTTAAAACATTATTTAAGCCCTGGCTGGGTGGCTCAGCTGGTTAGAGCATTGTCCCATACACCAAAAAGGTTACAGGTTTGATTCAGGGCACATATCTACGTTGCAGGTTCAATCCCTGGTCAGAGCACACATCAGAAGCAACCAACCCATGTTTCTTTCATATCTCTCTCACATCAATGTTTCTCTCTCTCTCCCCACTTCTCTCTCTCTCTCCCCACTTCTCTCTCTCTCTCAAATCGGTAAGACATATCTGGGAGTAAGGATTTAAAAAACCCACAAAAAACATTACTTAAGGTATTCTAGTATGCTGAAGTTTTATTTAACCCCACCCAGCTCTACCAGGTATCGTCTAACCCAGAATTATGCTCCATGAATCCTTATCCCCCTCTAATTTTATTTTTTGTCCCCTCCTTCAAATACTAATGCTGTTTAGGTTATTTTTAAAAATTCATTTCCCTCTATTTTATAACTTTACCCAATCTCTGTCAAGTAAGATGTGACACAAGGACAGTGGGCCCTGAAACACTTTCCTTGGGTTGGCTCTTTGACTTTTTTGTACACTGCTCTGGCTGGCCATTTTTTGTGAGATCTTGTCCTATAACAAACTACTCTGAGATAAAATATCCTGGGTACTCACAATGATGCAGCCCTCTATCCGCATATTCACTTGCTCATAAAGCCACACCTGAATCCGAGATCTCTGAAATAATCATAAAAACAGAAATGTTAAAAAATAAGTACACAAAATCCAATCACGCTGGTCAAACAGTAGAGAGATATGGCTCCTAAAAAAACTTAAACATAACAAAGCCAAGAGTTATAACCATTTGACTCATATTAGAATTGGTAACCAAGACTAGTCACTTGCCAAAATACATTCTCATTTAATAAATGCTACATTGAGTCCCAAGTTAGACAACTCAATCTTCCTATGATCTTGGGATTCCATCATATTTCTTAGTACTTCTAGTTTCATACATTTAGAGTGAAAATTGGTGTCAGTATAGCACAGAGCAGTGATTTCTAAAGACCAAAGTCTTCTTTCTTATATGCTATAGTAAAATCCAGCTCCAAAACAGCTTACTCTAGTTTCTCAGTTTTCCAGGTCTCACATCTAACAACCAGGGGACAAACCCTCAATTCTGGTTATTAAAAATTACTATGGCTTGAGATTAATCTGTTTTTCAGTTGTGTTGTCACACACAAAAATTTGTCAGAGCAAAAGGAACTACATTTTCTTTCAGAAATAATTTAAACACTCTGCATTGCCAACCCAGACTCTGTTGCTAAAAATTCCTCCAAAGGAAAGCAGACTGTCTCTCAATCCTCTGAACCTATCTCATCCCTCTTCCTTTTTCCGTGTCTTTTCTATAACTAAGTTTCCCCCTAGGTACTAAACCCACCACTTTATTACGTTGGTTTAAAGCGAACTGGATTTTTCTTCCAATGTTTCATCCTAAGGGAAAGAAGAAGAAAAGGTTCCAACGTTCTAGCCATATCGCTACCAACAAAAGTACCAGTCCCTACACTTTTTTAAGTTAGTAATTTTGGTCTTGCAAAGTAATGACACAATTCTTTCCATGCTTGCAGTTGGCATGGTTCCTCATTTCACTACATTAGAGCTTTCCCTGCACCCCTTCCCCTCGAATACCCCTCGATCTCCACAATTTCATCTCTTTCTAACGGAATACAGTGATCAGAGAGCGTGACAAAACAACTTACGTACGTTTTGCAAGTATCTGAAGATGAGGTTCTGCACCGATGGTTAAAGAAAAAAACACAGGCGTAGCACACACCCTGCTCCCTGAAAGTGGTCACTACCCCATCGAATTTGTTTTCGGAGCCCGAGGTCTGGCGTCTACCCCACGAGAAGAGCCCAACCAGGCACGCGGTAGGGGCTCCTTAGACTCGGAGGGCTCTCTTCTCATTCAATTTCCTTTGGCGCCATCTTCCTCCCCCTAACCCATCCCTCCCGTCTACACTCAGTACCTAATTAAGGCTGCCCCCTCCGCTCCCCACCACCCTTCCCGCATCCCCCCGGAGGGGGTCTGCCCAAACCCGCCTCCCACCCTTGCCCGCTTCCTCAACGCCCCGCGCTTTCTCTGGGCCTCCGGAGCCCCGGGGGCTCACGGGATGTGAAGGAGCACACTGTGCCTCCGAGCCTGCTGTCTGCCCTTTAGCCCGTTTTCTGGCCCGAACCGCCCAATCCTGACATCCTGCGTAGGATACGATGGGCTGCACCATCACCTTCTGGACTTTTTGACCCTGGCCGCGGTACGCCATGCTGGAAGCTCACAAAGACCGACCACACTAAACGGCGCGCAACCTCAGAAAGCCACTTCCGGAATAGGAACCGGAAGCGGAAGTGTGCGGTGCTCGCTTAGTGGCCTGTGCAACTCTTGGGAAGTGCTTCTCTAGCTTTTCTCGGTGGTCTATTGCCTCCGGGGGAGGCCAAATTTAGGCATCTGCTCTTCGGCACGGGGGTCGGTCCTACAGCGCCACCTGGAGAGAGGCAGCGGAGACACCGGCGTCTTTGTGTCTAATTTTCTGAGTCGGCATTAAGAGCCAAATCGTCCAGTTGCTTACCTCTCTTCGTAAAATGTGCTGGTTTCGTGCCCTTTCTTTTCTTTATTTTCTCTTTTTGGTGTCGAAATCCTGGATTTAGTGCTTTTTCAAAAGCCTGTTTCTCTGGAATTTAGGCTTGATGGCAGCGTGGTGCCGGAGAGGGTAGGGCGGCAAGAAGCCCAAATCTAGGACTCTGCCACCTGGCCCTCTCAGCCACGGACGGTCTGAATTCAAAAGCCCGTCGGCTGTGGTTTGCTCCATTACAGAGTCAGCTCTTATGATCTTTGTGGGAGTTACTGTCACGTGGGGACAGAGCACGGCTATTGAGCGTGAAATCCCTGCCATCTGATTGCTGGGCTCAAATCCAGCTCGCTTGCAGCGTATGATCAAGGAAAAATCCTTCAGCTTTGCAGCACCGCGTCTGAGCTGTTACCAGAGTGGAGGTAAAAACGTTCCTTCCTCCTGGGGCTGAAGGTTCAGGGAAGGAGGACGTGTGTACACATTCAGGCCTGAGTGCTCTAACACCGTTTCCTGGGGAACACGGAAGAGGAGGAGCTGGAATTTATTAGGTTAGGTCATGGGCTTGTGGCCTGACAGAAATACCATTTAATTGGAATGACCATTTTATATATGAGGAAACTGAACCTCAGAGTTGAAATAACTTGTCTAAAGGGACAAGTGGCAAGTGGCAGAAACATAACAAGCCTTCTGTTTAAGGAGGATATGTAATAATGCTGACCTCATAAAGGTGTTGGGATTAAAGGATATGAATGCCTTTTACACTGTAGAGAGCTCGAAAATGCCTGAGATACTATTTGTTTTAAGAAATTTTCCTGCCTCAAACCCAATAGAGAGGGTCATGTTGTGCATAGAGGGAACTCCAGTTAGATTTGCAGAATTCAAAGACAGAAAATTGTTTTGCATTTTTGTGTGTCTGAAGTCATGATTCCTGAACTTTTAGGGTTTGATCCCTTTAACGGTCATTTGATTGGCTATACAATTCATTAGAAGTGATTTGCTTTAAAAAAATGATTTTGCTGTTTTACATTTAAATTTTTGAATGAGATTTAATCTAGAATTTATCCCAGTGTATTCTAGAACTGATACAGCTTTATAATTTCTAGATGGCTGCCCAGTTCTCTGTCATCATTACAAAAAAATAACTCATTGTTCCCCATTCAACTTAAAATGTATATTTATAAATATAACAAGTGTATGCATGTATATAGTGTGTTTTTTGTTCATTTGATCTTTGTGACTATTTAGGGACCAATATCACTGTTAAAAATATTATAACTTTATAATATTTTGTTATTTGGTAGAACTAAAAGTAGATCGAATTTTCCTAGCTATTCTTGGTTATTTTTCCTATAAACTTTAGAATCCACTTTTCTAATTTAAAAAATCCTTTTGGCATTTTTACTGTGATTACATTAAACTCTAGAACAACTTAGAATTAATCTTTTAAAAATCTAAATACATGATTTCTATTTATTTAAATTTTCCTTTGAGTCTTTGAGAAGCTTTTGTGTTTTTTTTTTTAGTTTCTAGTTTCTTCTTTCTAGTTAATCTAGTTTAATCATCAATATTTCATCTCTCTTGTTCTTAAAATGATATTTTCCTCAATAGTATGCTGTAGCTGAATTTTAGAAGAAAATGTGATCAATTCAATTATGTAAAAATGTCGTTTTACATGACTAAAACACCATAATAAGCAAAGTCAAAAGATCTAAGAAAAAAATAGGGTGTCCCAAAAAATGTATACAGTGTGTCTGCAGATTCTATTACATTTTGAAAATGAAATGTATTTTAATAAACACTGGTTTTATAATTACACTTTTTTTTTTTGTATATACACTTTTTGGGGATATTCTATATTAGCACTATGTCAAACAAATGGGTAGCTAATTTTACTAATACATAAAGAACTCCCCCCCAAAAAAATGTTTTTCCAGTTCTCTATTGCTGTGTAAGGACTATTACAAAACTTAGTAGTTTAAAACAACAATTATAATAATTTTGTTATAATTAATGATTTTATGAGTCAAGACTTTGGGCAGGGCTCAGCTGGGTGGTTTTTTGGTACTCCTGAAGACATATCTAAGACCTTGGCGTAGGTATTTGGAAGGCTAGCCTCAGCCGGGTCCCTCTCCATGTCTGTTTAGTCTCAGGGCTTCACCTCAGGATCTCTCTGGCAGAGTATGCTTTTTCATATGAGGCAGCCCAGGGCTCTAATAAACAAAGGCTGAAGTTACCCTTAAGGCCTGGAATGAGTATAGTATCCACACCCCAGGCCAGATTCAGGGCTGGAAAAATAGAGCCCACCTCTTAACAGGAGGTGTGTTAAAGAATTTGCAGTCATTTTTAACCTGACACAAAGACCCAAAATTAAAATTGGCAATGGATGTGAAGAGTTTTTGGCAAAAGGAAATACAAATGGCCTTCAAAGATATAAAAATCGCCCAACTTTACTCATGTTAAGCCAAATGCAAACTGCACTACATTGAGAGAACATTTTCTCCCATTAGATTGGCAAAGATCAAAAAGTAGTGGTAATGCCAGTTATTAAACTCCACTTATAGATATTTAATTCTACAGATAAACTTACATGTGTGGTATAGTGTAATCAATTATTGCATCATTGTTTAAAATACCAAGACAGGAAACAACTTAAATGTCCATCAATAGGAACTAGCTCAATTGTTGCATATCCATATGGTATAATACAATGTACAACTATATCAAGACTAAAGAAGCTCTGTTGTGATATGAAATTATATCCAGTAGATAGTATGACAAAAAGCAAGCTATGATACATCTTAGATTTGCTCTAAAAGAATCTGGTGGAGCCCTGACCAGTTTGGCTCAGCGGTTAGAGCGTCGGCCTGCGGTCCTGAGAGACCCGGGTTCGGTTCCCGCTAAGGGCACGTACTTCGGTTGCAGTTTGTCCCCGGCCCTGGTTGGTCATGCGGGTGGCAGCCACTCGATGTGTCCCTTCGCGTCGATGTTTCTCTCCCTCTCTCCCTTCCTCTCTCTCCTTCCCACTCTATCTGTACAAAAAATGGAAAAATATCCTCGGGTGAGGAAAAATAAATAAATAAATAAATAAAAGAATCTGGTGGAGCCAGCCAGATTGGAGCTTAGATGGGGCAAACCTAAGCAGCAGAATTGAAGGAGTCACATCTACATGTGCAAGTGCAACCCTGAGAGTGAGCGCCTCTTACATTGTGTCTAGGTACCTTGTTGCCTCTCCTTAGTCTCAGCCCTGAGGACCAGATTAAGTGGTGAATAGTTGGAAGGGGTAGAGATAAAACAGGATTTGTAATAGATTTGTAATTCATAATTTAAAACTATTCATAATAAAAATATTTATAATAAACATTCACAATAAAACAGGTGCAGCCCAGCTGGTGTGGCTCACTGGATCGAGTGTCATCCGATGCACCAAGAGGTCACTGGTTCGATTCCCAGTGGGGAGCATGCAGGAGGCAGCCAATTAATGTTTCTATCTCTCTCTCTCCCTTCCTCTTTCTCTAAAAAAAAAAAAAATCAATAAAAGCATATCCAAATAAATAAAAAAGTAAGGTGTTAAGTATTATGTATTTTTTGTTTGTTTTAATCCTCATCCAAGGATACTTTTTTTCATTTTTATCTTCAGATAGAGTGGGAGAAAGAGAGAAACATCAACGTGAGAGAGACACATCGATTGGTTGCCTCCCACCTGATCCTGTTCAGGGCCCAGGACTAAACCTCAACGGAGGTCTGTACCCTTGACCAGAATCAAACCTGTGACTCTTTGGTCCAAAGGCTGATACTCTACCGCTGAGCCAAACCGGCCAGGGCACATTATACATTGTTTTGCTTAAAGTCATAGAACTCGGTGAAAATGTTAATTAAGGACTTAATGTATATGCCTAAAATATCTCTGGAAAAATACCTTAGAAACTGCTAACATTGGTTTTGGAGAACTGTGTTCCTGGGGCAGGAGAAGGAGGGAGGATTTTTTTTAAATGTTTTTATTGATTTTTGAGAGAGAGGAAGGGAGAGATAGAAACATCAATGAGAGAGACACATCAATTGGCCACCTCCTGCATGCCCCATATTGGGGATGGAGCCTGCAACCCGACCAGGAATTGAGTCGGGACCTCTCAGTCCCTGGGACGTCATTCAATCCACTGAGCCACACTGGCTGGGGGAGGATTTTTACTGTGTACTATTATACACATTTTGAATCTTGAAACTTCTTAATAAATATATCACTAATTCAATCAATTCATTAAATGGTGGAAAGTACTAAGAAACATTTTTTTCCCTTTTTTAAAATTTCAATGATCATAATCTTGTAAAATCTGAGATTTTCATGTCACTCCCAAGGTTACCTGCAAAATAAACATGAGAATTACTGACCCAGAGACATCCCCTGGGTGGCGGAAGCCTAAGGAAGTTCCATCTGCTTACTCCTAGCACTGGACCAGACTTGAGGCTAAACTGCTGGACATTCTACTTGAAACACTACCTGAAAATAGCTGATTGGAAATACTGCGAGTGGGGAGCATTAAGATGGGACATGAGAATGACACAAAGTGGGTGAGCCAACTCACACAACTGCGCAGTACGGCCGGAAGATAGAGGGACGGTGCTGCGGGACAGCTCCTGCCAACGGAGTGGGGGGACTCAGCCCCACGTGGAGATCCCCGAATGAGAGCAACAGACAAGGGAAAGGGGACACACATAACATTGGACAGTGGAATCAGACGTGGCTCAGCCCTCCAGGGGGACTTGGACAGCCCTGTCCCAGGCTAAAAGCAGGTGCTTGATTACAACACCAGCCTGGGAGGCTCTCCTTGATGGCAGTGGGCTGGAGGGACCGCAGGGCACAGTGGCAGACCTGAGGAGGGGTCTGGGA